AAGCACAAAGCTAAATACATATACAAAATACATATTGTTTGTTTGCAGTTTGTTTTTAATAAAGGTCCTAAAGTTTGCTTTTTACAGTCTATAAGATTAAAGAATGCCTTTAGAAACATGGAAAATTAACTATTATAGTTATGAAATTGTCTTCTTTCAACCACAAAGAATAACTTTAAGCTAAACTTGCGGTCTTGGTGCCGTTCATTTTAAAACACGCATTTTAACACCACATATGAAAGCAGAAAAAAGTCTTTTGGAAAACAAACATAAAAAACATTTCCATAACTTAATGGAGCAAGCATGGAGGATTTGGAATCTAAGGGTCGGTCAGAATCATTGTTCTCTGTCTCACATCATCGCTCCCTGACCTGGGAACATTGATGTTTACAGTGCAGGCAAAGAACCGTGTGTGCTGGTGCTTCCTAAAGGGGGCGCTATTATCTACATGTTTTCCATCTCCTCTATATCACAGGACAGGTGGAGCTGGCAGCTTTGGACTGAAAGCCTGAAGTCTGAACCAAGCCAGTGTGGAGTTCACAGAGCCTCAACAGGAAGTTGCACTATATAAATAAATCAATACTTAAATAAATATACTTATCCATTCAAAACGATCAAAGATGTTATAACATAAGTACTCTTAATGTTTCCCAAGCTGGTGAAGAGTACTTTGCACCTGAAATAAGCCTCCCTAATTATAATATGACTATTATAATAATAAGCAGGTTCAGTCTTACTGAACTGTGGCCACATTTAGAAGAAGATAAGTATAAGAGTCAACTGAAGGTTAGATATAACACGCTGACTTGGAATTTTATTGTAGAACTGGCAGTTTTGAAGTTATATGATCTCTCTTTCCTTAACGTTTTTGGTCCCTTTTACTTTTTATGTGCATTCTTATTTCTAGAGGAGGAATTGGAAAAAATGGAAACTCCTATAATTAAACTGCGTTTATTTCTCTCCTTTCCAAAACCTAAAATGCTAATTGGTGACATTGCTGTTCAGCTCCATCCAATTACTTGCAGCTCTCACTCGTCTGATTAGCAATCAGCTTTCCTCTTGCCACTTGGAAAGCAGCGCAAAGACTAGACTGCAATGATTTACTAACTTTACCTTAAAATAACATTTAAAATCAACATTTAGCTTCCAGTGAATTTTGCAAACGTCTTGAGTTGCCAATTAAGCAACATATAAGCTCATGATTTCTCATGAGTATATAGTAAGAATCAGGACAAATGTTCAAGAATCTTGGCTGTCATTGATTATTGGTACGTAAACCATTTAAAAGACATTTCAGATGCTAACTGGGGGCTACAAATATAACCACTGTGATGATAAAGGGAATAAAATAACCCAAACTGTCGACAAAAGCATTAGAGTGTTTAAAACAATTGAGCAATTCAGTCATTCTAACCTACAGTATGGTAAATGGCATGTACTTATATAGCGCTTTTATTCAAGTCAGGAGACTTGACCAAAGCGCTTTACACTACAGTCATTCACCCATTCACTCACACACTGATGGTGGCAAGCTACACTGTAGCCACAGCTGCCCTGGGGCTCACTGACAGAAGCGAGGCTGCCGTACACTGGCGCCACCGGGCCCTCTGACCACCATCAGTAGACAATGCAGGTGAAGTGTCTTGCCCAAGGACACAACGACACTGAAAGTCGTAGTCGGGGCTTGAACTGTCAACCCTCCGATTTCAGGGCAAACTCCTATATCCAACGCCACTGTCGCCTGTATGTGCAAAAGATTTCAGGTAGGTTTAAAAATCCAATGTTTTATAATCCTTGGTATGGACAGCCTCAAAACAGCAGGGTGATGGACGCATCAGGATGATGTTTATGTGTAAGTTATCGGCCATGAAGAGTGGGAACAAGATGGATGCAAATGTTTCCTCTGTGAAAGTAGGTAAAACCAACGCAGCCATAAATCTGACAGCAGCTGATCTAACTTACGCACCAAAGAAGACACAAAATCATTTCTAAATTAGATATACTGTTATCTATGTTATCTATATCTATACATTATTGTTTGAAGCAAAGAAGACATTTTCTGAAAGGGAAATAATAATCATCAGAAATTAAACTTAAAAAAAAATTAGAGTAACTTTGCTGTTTTTTACAGTTAAATTGTTTCCAAATATAAGCAAATTTGATTTTTTTCAATTTTCTGTTTTTCACTTTTAGTTTTATAAAATGGATTTTACAGATCGCATTCTCTTTACTACAAGCCTGATGCAAACGCTCACTCTTCACCAACAAATTGTTGTTTCTAACGTCGATGCAGACCAACAGTCTTTGATCATCACCTCAGAGTGAAGAGAATGTGATCTGTAAAACTGTCAAACTCTATTAGGAACTAATACAATTCATTAAACTCAATCTAAAAATTGACCAAATAAATGTTTAAATAAGTGTGAAAAATATAGTTATTTGAAAAAATGTAATCTAAAAAGAGCAAATTTAGACTCAAAACCTGTGTTTGATTAAGAAGTTAAATCTAGAATGCATAAAATTTACATTTAAAAATATGTTCTCTTACACCCACCGCGGAAGGCATCATCAGATCATAAACAGTCTATCGGTGCCCACATTTCTGGTAATTATCATTACTGACCCTGTAATTAAAGTCAATTAATAGACAGAAAAAGACCTCAGTTCAGAATAAATATCCTTTTCTTACTGGAGAATCGGAATGTGAGTCACAGTCATGCCAAACTTTGATGGCAAAAGGCAACATGGTCCCATACTGATGACATCACCCCCTGCATGCAGGCCTAAAGGTTGTGGATGTCTGGAAGCAGGTCCCTGGGCAATAAACCAGCTCTCTCGCTCACATGGCTGCACAGTGACACACAGTCAGGCATGAAGACAGTGAGGACGCATACAGTCAAACCCAAGGAACCACGTTGGCATATACACCCGTATGCAGAGACAAACACACACTTGTCTGGTGTTCTAGCTGAGTGGCAGGATTTGGCCTGAAGACAGCCGACTCCTTTCCCCAAAATCCTCTCATTAGATCCGGTGTCAATCTAACATATGCCACTTTCACCCTGTCCACAATAATGACAGCTTCACAAAGATAGTTTGAATTGGATTCTTTCCCTTTGCAGCTCATCTTAAATTATGTCACAATTTATTATCTAATATGATCAAGGAGCAACATATTTGATTGAAAATGAAGTTTGTCAACATTCTGTGAAGCTTTTTTTCTGAATAAACGAACAGGCAACAAACAGGCTTAAATTGGAAGGCAAAACATGTCGAAACATCTTTCAAAAACTGAACTAAAGGCGGGTTACCTTCCAATTTAGGCTTGTTTGTGGTTGTCATGACCCAGATGACTGATCATTTACACAGGCGCTCAGGAGAAAGTGAGTAGAACCATCCATCCATTTTCTGACAAGCTTATCAGTGGTGGTGAGGGGTGCTGGTGTCTATCTCCAGCTGTCTGGACTGTGGGAGGAAGCTGGAGTACCCAGGGAAAACCCAGGCATGCTCAGGGAGAACATGCAAACTCCATGCAGAAAGACCTTGGGAACCTCCTTGCTGCAAGGCAAGTGCTAACCACTGCGCCACTGAGCAGCCTACAGCATGAATTCACAACACAAGTCATCTCAAGGCACTTTACAGTTCAACCAGATCATCCAGTCAGGTTGGTTCAAAGGAAAACCAGCTGATTGCATCGACTCATTGACTCAAAGGCTATCCCTCACATGGATTCTGTTCAAACTGGGTAACAGCAGATTTACCTTTAACTTTCAGTTTGTTGATCCAGTCTAGATGTTTTTCAGGAATGTTAAAGTTTGAACGCCTCTTTCTAAAGCCTCAAGAGCCTTATGCTCTTCCTGAGCTTTTTACTTACCAGAAAAAAACACAATCAGCCCTAAAATTCTCCAAAATCTCTCTCTATGCAGAGGATGTTTTCCTTCTAATGCTATAATTGGATCCGTCCTGCTGCTAGGATTTTGATGCAAAGACCGAGCGTTGACACAACTAATATACTTCACAGCAAAACCCCAGTTTTCCAATGAAAGTTTAAGATATGATAACCTCATAAGAAAGGAAATCGTTTATAATGGAGTTTTAAGCTCTATTCATTACTTTCTTTATTTGACCAATACTTCAGGGATTTTAGTTTATTCTGTTTTTTCGCTTGATTTTTTTAAACGAAAGGCTCACTAATAAATAAAAGAGGAAAAGCATTTTCCAGTCTGCATCATAATGCAAGACTGGAACATGCTGCACAGTGTTTCCTGTACCAGCAAGACTTCTCTACTTATTTTAGATATTCACAGTTAATGTGAATTAATTAGCCTCTCTAAGTAATGTCAGATGAAATTGTAAGCTATACTATATGTATGTACTATATGTACATGATTCATATGAAATGTATCCAAAACCAGGCAGTGAGATTCATGACCACTGTAATTTTGTTGAGCAGAGCTGTAGGTTTAACAGTGGCTGTGGCATCATCGATTATTTCAAAAGAGCACATGTTCTATAGAAGTAAATTGATTTTTAAATGGATCAGTGTGGAGGGAGCAGAGCTGAAATATCCTCTAAAATCTTCCTCTTCTGAAGTTTTATTATTCCTGTTATGTGTTAAATATGTGAACCAATAAATCGTTGAGTAAAACCCTCTTAACTTTATGTTATCTAATCAACAGCTCACTATAAGATGTGATGGTGAGCTTGTGTTTAGACCTAAGCCTGTCCTGTTTTATTTAATAAGCTATCCTCGGTCTCCGTCTCTCCCAGCAGTTCAGCTCATTCCTACACCGTCCATCTGGATTCTGTGGAGCAGAGGCTGAATCCACCAACACTACTGAGGCTTTTCTATCTCGCCTGAGGCTGCTGCCCCCTGCTGTAACTCAGTGAGCTCAGGTTGTGACCCTGATGCACTGGGAGCCTCTGGGACCTGAACCATTGAGCAGCAAAGTTCAACAAGGAATGCTGAGTTTCTACTGGTGGAATAAAGTCAGGCTTACCTAAAGAAGGTGACGAAGAACTGAACCAGGTCCATGATGCTGTTGTGCTGAGAGAAGGCGATCTGTTTCAAACAAGAAGGAAAAGGTGTTACTAAAGACCGGTTCTTCTTTAAAGTTTAGTTTAGTTTACAGCATATCAAAATTTGACTTTACAATGTGTTTGATGGAGTGGATTTAATGCATGTTTATATTAACCTCTTAATATCCACCTAGTTTCTGTGAAATACACCTATTTTGCATACCCAAATGAAAAAGCAAATAACTGAGGAGCTGTGAGCCTAAATTACATCTGTGATACATTACTTGAAATCTAACACCTTCTAGTTTCTGAATATATGAACACTGGGTGAGTAAAACACCCAAGCTGCATCAGTTTAAACAAGACACAAAGTTGTTGTTTTTTATTCTCGAAAATAATAGGTATTTTTTAAACAGCAGTAATAAAGCCATGCTTGCTTGATGTGGCTGCTTTGTCATGGTACATTAAAATGAACTAGGTGGTTGAATTGTGGAGAATCTAAGCTTTCCATCGATGTCCAGCATGTCTGTATTGGTAAATATTTTACCAGTGTAATTTTCATGCATTCTGAGTTATTATTTGGTTTAAAACGGGTCGCCGGCGACCCGGTGGGTTTGGAGAGGATAAGGTAAAAGCTTCATAATCAGAGGCTGCTATGTCTATGGTGAATCCTCTGAGACTGCTTGCAAGAGAAGAAGAAACCAGGCGGGGGACTAAGAGGGTTACCAACATTAGTTCAGCAGGTAAAATGTCCTAAGAGTAAATAAAAAAAAGACGTGCAGAAAAGCTGACTGTGGTGCACTGGGACTCCGCTATAATAGAAGCATCAGGGAGGAAAGAGGCTGGCTGCACATCCAGGCCTCCAACGCTGCAGTATAAGGAGGTATCATGAACTCCCTCATTATAAGTAAATGGGCTTACTTATTCAAAATAAGTAGAGATTCAACATGAATGATTTGTAAAGTTCAATCAAATTCACTGCTTTGAACAAAATTGCCTTCAATTTCCACAATGCTCTTTTTTTTTTTTTAGCATTTTTAGTGGGAAACCAACTCTACCATCAGCTGTCAGTTCAATTTACAGCTGCAACTGTTAAAGTGATACAATCCATAGACAGTTTACTTTTATCGGTGCAGAGACACAAACACCAACAAAAAATGTCAAACTTCCCATACATATAGGCTGATAGGTATAGAGCTAAAAAAAAAAACAAGATAAATGTGAAAAAATTGCTTTAATTTGATGATTTGAGCAAACATGGCTCTTTTCTGTTCAGGTTAAACAGAACTAAGACAACTGAATATCTCTGTTGAATGTATAGGCTGTATGACTATAGTCTATGCCAGGGGTCTGCAACCTTTCATATCCAAAGAGCCGTTTCGTTAATGCATAGTCTGTATAACTATACATTAGCAAGAGGCAGTCTGCATCAATATAAAGTCGCCTTCTTCCAAATCTATTACATTTTACAAAACTGTAATCATATTTTGGAACCTGAGCTATAAGAGGCCATGTTAACGCATTACTAATCCTTTAGTAAATAATTAATCCTAAATAGGACAGTACAGACTGTAAAACATACCTTTAGTTGACAGAAAAACCCGCTTAAAGAGTAATTATATCAAAATTGTAAAGAAAACATGTAAACATTTTGCATTTAAGAGAAAAAAAAACTTCTATATCTGTCAATATGTTCAATTCAGAACTCCTCAAGTAGAAAAGGTTGTAGTTCCCCCTGGTTTAATTTAGTAAAAAATCTCCTTGAAGCAACCTTTAGCTTTCTGATTATTCATTGAAAAAATAATCGACAGATAAATCGATTTGCAAAATAATCGTTTGTTGCAGCCGTACTTTTCAGCTTCCTGTCCAAGTTAAAATCCCACCCAGAATAAAACCCAGAGGCAATAAAACACATCAAACATTTCACTTTTCTTAGCATTTAAACAAGAGAATAAATAAATAATATATAGTTTGTGATAAACCGTGAAACGCTCAGTCTGGTGAAGAAAGACAAACATAAGAACATGAAGTGGTGCTTATACTTTCCTACACAAAACGCTTTGTGAGGCCTTTAGGTGTGAGACTCTTAATTGCATTTTCTTTTGAGGTTAAATGTATTTCCCAGCAGATCAAACTTGATGGTTTTAGTTACAGTATTTGATTTTATATCAGTCATTTGTGAGTTCAGGTTCACTGGAAATCACATTTCTTGACAGGAATAAAAGACGTTTTGCTGAGGTGAAAGTTCCCTCCAAATTAAATCTAGATTTCAATAATAACAATCAGAGAAAGGCAAAATAAAAGCGAGTGTGAATCAAACCCCCCACCCCCCCCCACCCCCCGAGAAATGCTGCAAGGCCAAATGGAGCTAAAACTAAATTACAGCAGAGGGGAATTCTCAAACTCTCTCAGATAAACACAGCAATAACCTCTACTGCAGAGCGCAAACACAAGAACAATAGACTGTAATTGTTTTGAGATCAGGGGTCAACCGACTATTCAGGGAGAGTCTTTCTTTTCTTTCCTTCACTCCTTTCTTTAAACTGGTGCTGTAATTACAACAGCAGAGAGCGTATGTGAGGGGAAGGGCTGAGAAACAGAGGTAAAAGATGAGAAGGACAGCGATGATTTAAAGAGGACTCCAAGGACCCTGAATCTACAGCACACTCATTATGGAAGACCTACGGTAGCCCCCTGGGGACAAGCTTAGGAGCTGTGACAGCAATGGGCTGCCTTTTATTTCTCTAACCCTGAACTAAGAGCTGCTTGTTAAAGCCCAGAATGAAAGAAAGTGCTTGGCTAGTCAATAAAGAAAAGGACGAGAAGAGCGAAACCAAAAAGAAAAAGGATGGAGGGAAAGAGGCAAGAATAGGAAAACAAAGCAGAAGAAAAACCCCATGGCTGACCGAAGGGGCGGGAATTTATTTATCCATCTTTTCCAGATGTGTTTATGGGCCATTACCAACCCGCATGCTGGGGCTGATTCTGGGACAGAAGATCTAAACAAATGAGGCACAAACTCAATCAACCCAAGATATTAAGATGAAAAATAAATAAAATAAAATAAAAAGAGCAAAAAAAGATTTTTTGGGAAAATCTCCTGAATGTCTTTTGTGTTGCAAATGATTTCATTTCAAGTAACTCCCCTGCTTAATAAAATGGTTTAGGTTCAATTATGATAATAATCAAATAAAAAAGATCCACTTTTTAACTTCCATTAAAATATGTATTGATTTGAGCCTACAGGGGTTTACTAATGTATGCCTACCTTTTGAAGCTTTCCATTTTTGTTACATAAAAACCACAAACATAAATACATCATATTGGTATTTTATATGAAGCATCAATACAGAGGTGTTTACATTTGTAAAAATGAAAGAAAAATACACATGATTTATGTTTTAACAAATAAAAATCTGAAAAGGAAATTGAGTAAAGCCCTTTAGTAACTACAATGCTTTTAAGATACTGTATGTGTCAATCACTTTTGCAAATTTAAAACGGCTTAATCTCAGATTAGACGGGGAGCGCCTTTCAACAGGAGCTTTCAGATTTAGCTGTTTTTCAAATTAAAATTTCTTTCAACAATATGATATAAACATAAAACAATATCACACACTGTAAAAACCATCTAGAAATAAGTAAAAAAAATCTTACTTTGAGTGTATTTACCCTTAATTTTAGAAGATAAATAAGATGATTTGCCAATGGAATTGGCAAATTTTTACTCCTAAAATAAGATAATTAGATAATTTGCACTTGAAATAAGACAATGCATTTTTTTTCTTATTTTAAATGTAAATTGTCTTGTTCCATTGGCAAAGTATCTCAATTACCTCCTCAATTCAAGAAAAAATGCACTTCATTTAAGCAAAAATTACTCATCAAATTTCCAGTACAATGCATTACAAAGCTTTTTTAAATAAACTGTGGGGGAAATTATTTACATGGATGCAGCGCAGTTCAAACATGAACATACTGGACTGATTCCATTCTGTACACATAATGTATAACTTATTTTTGTAATATCAGAGACCAACGGCAACAAAACTACACATGTGTGAGAACGAGCCTCCAACATGTAAATATAAATGGGAACGCCAGACTTTACTTAAAGGGTTCAAAGATGAGATCCTATATATGGAATATTTTTTTAAATTTCAAAAAGGTAAAAGCCAATAGTTTTCTTCCTTTTTCCAATGGGCTTTACTTTGCATTCGTATGTCACATGAAATCCTGTTGGAAGTAAAAGTATCAATCCTTTTGCAAGTCGCTGTAGGTTAAGAATATTATTTTTGCTTACTTTAACAAAGTGTCCATGAATCTTAAGAAATAAACATTTGGTTACAGAGAAAGAGTTCTTCAGAAACTCCATATTCATGAGGACCTAATGACCAAAGGGAGCCTGTTGCTAAGAGCCGCCTCCACCTACATGTTATGGAAATGAGCCCAGATGCTCCACGTGTGTTAGAGAAGCTCAGCTGCTTTAAACAGGTGGTGGAGAAACACTTCAGCCTCAATCTACAGCTTGGAGACAAGCAGGAAGCCATGTTTGACTTCTTAATGTGTTACTCATCTGCATATTCCCGCTGGCTAATTAAAGGAACGGCTTCCATGGAACAAAAGAGAATGCCCATCCTGATGATGATGATGATGATGAGGATGCATTACAGTATTAAAAGCTTGTTATAATTGATATTATAAGGTGTTTTCTTCAGATTGATCATTATAGTTGTAAAAAAAATCTACAAATTTAAACTTTACAGCCTAAAATAAGTTAACATTTAGATTTTGAGAGTTTTGAGTTAAGATACTGGCTTCAAACAAAGTAAATCAATAAAAATGCTGTTGAAAGGTGCAATTATTCACACTCATGGCTTTAGGGTAAACAAACACCAAAATATGGCAATTATTATATTTTGTTAAGGGAAAATCCAAAAGGAATATGAAGTTTTTAGTTTAGATGGAAATCCAGTCCCGTAAAAACAGAAAAATTCCCCTGAACAATAAAGAAATAAATCCTCCTGGATCAAGGATTTTATT